AATAGGAAGTTTACATTTCACATTTGAAATTAATTTGAGATTTATTTGAAGAAAGATGTCAAGTGTCAAATGATATAAAGGTGCGCAGTTAAATCAAAAATTGTAAGAATAAAATTAAATTCAATTAAAAAAAGTATAGAAAAAAATATTCAAAGAGAAAGCACACAAATAGTCGATTTGATGTTTGCGCGGATCGAAGAAGCTGCTGTAGCCTTCAAGACGAATTTATTATAAATTACTTTATCTTAATTGTTTCTGTATGTACATATGTGCATCGTGAAGAAAAAATAATCATGAAATATACATTTTCTATAATAAATTTTATTTCCACATTTGAAGTACAATCGATAAATAACCTTTGAAATTGATTTGAGAGTTAACCATATTCTCAAATGGAGATCTAGCTCCCCTTTTTATTGAGAAAGCTGTTATTTTAAAATCAATATCAAATCATTTTCAAACGTTTGACATTTGAGAAAGGGCTTTGAGATGTATTCGCCTTGTAAATACCTGAAGGAAATACTGTTTGTTTGATGAGAGCAGATACTTCGTCTTGTCCTCGTTTACCACCAGACCCATTCGCTTTGCTGCTTTATCCAACTTGAAAAAGGCAGAACAGACTTCGCGGTTTTTCTTACCGATGATGTCAGTGTAATCGGCATAAGTCAGCAATTGTACGCTCTTGTAGTAAATTGTTCCTGAGGGGTTCAGTTCTGCGGCCCTTATTATCTTCTCCAACATCAGATTAAAGAAATCACACGAAAGGGAGTCACCTTGTCTGAAACCTCGTTTGGTATCAAACGGCTTGGAGAGGTCCTTCCCAGTTCTGACGGAGCTGGTGGTATTCCTCGACGTTATTTTACAAAGCCGTATTAGTTTCGCGGGGATACAAAATTCAGACATAGAGGCGTATAGGCAACTTATTTTTATGCTATCGAAAGCGGCTTTGAAATCGACAAATAGATGGTGTGTGTCGATCCTATTCTCGCGGGTCTTTTCCAAGATTTTGCGTTTTGTTAATAGCTGATCTATGGTGGATTTGCCAGGTATAAAGGCACACTGATAAGGTCCAATCAGTTCGTTGACGGTGGGATTCGGTCTTTCACACAATACACTCGACAAGTCCTTGTAGCCTATGCATAGAAGGCTGATCCCGCGGTAGTTGGCGCGTAAGGCGGGATCGCCTTTCTTGTGGATTGGGCAGGGCACACTAAAATTCCAGTCGTCAGGCATGCGCTCATGTGACCATATTCTGCATAAGAGCTGATGCATGCACCTTATCAGCTCCTCGCCGCCGTACTTGAATAGCCAGGCTGGCACGCCGTCAGCTCCAGCAGATTTGTTGTTTTTCAGCAGCGTAATCGCTATTCGTATCTCGTCATAATCAGGCGGTGGGACATCGACTCCATCGTCATCGACTGGGGGCTCGGGTTCAACTTCTTCTCTTCTACTTTCAGCGCTGCTGCCATTCAACAGGGTGGAAAAGTGTTCCCTCCATAATTTTTAATAAATTGGACGCCTCGTCCGTCTCTTGGATCGGAGCATGGGCGCCGATGAGCGAAATATTGAATAATCTTTTTTTTTTATGCGGATTATGGCAATACGTTCGTCCACCGGGGTGAACGCCAGTACTCGGCGACGGAGTCTCTCTCCCACCACAAATCCAACACCGAATTTGCGCTCCGCTACGTGACAACTATAGTAGACGTCGCAAGGTTCCACGCTTACCTTGCCTAGCCCCGGCTATCGCATTTCTTGGGCGGCGGTTAGTCTTCCCGAGGACATCAACCAGCCGCCCAGAGGCACCTTACCCATTAAGAGTCCGGATATTCCAGGTGCATACCCTCATATCCTAGTCCTTAATACGTTTGCCGTGGTCATCATCAGAAAAAGGGGGTCTTATCCGACGCTGCTTTTTGTTTTTCATTGGGCAGGGTTTTAACGTGGCGGGACCCAAACCCAGCGCACGCGAAGTTTTACGCCTTCTTACTTTAGCTCGCTCCCAAACGGGTGTTGTTGTGAGCTGCGATTTGAACCGTAATCACACGAATCACTTCTGGCCACTCCCAGGTGAATGGCAATGAAAACCTTTCTTCTTCCGCGCAAGGAACCATCCTCCTCCTCCTCAGCAAAGGTAATAATGGGTCTCATCAACGAGGTCTAGATCCAGAGTATACCCCTTGGCGACAGACACCACGTTTTACTAAAGCTTCTATACTATAGCTTTATTGAAACGCGATTTAGTAAAGTGGATT